CGGTGATATTTCGCAGAGCTGACTCAAAGTCTTTGTGTTAAAGCTCCGGCAAAAAGAGGGGGGCTTTCATCTTGACAACTTGAACATTTCTAATTTACGTTATCGACTCTCACATGGGCAGTGTCATCATTTTTCTTTGCCATGGTATAGTTTTAAGACGGTCGTGAACTCGTGACGCAGTTATGGTCGTTAAGTGAGGGGGTAGAAGCAGTTCCATTCTTGATATGATATTCTGATTATTACTGCACAGCTCATTGGTAAATGTTCTGCAATATCAGGGAGGTTGTTGCTACCCCCCCCCCCCCCCCCACTTAATGATTGTCGGCTTTCTCAAAGAAATTTGATATCTCTTTTGCAAGTTAGCATAGGTAAATAACCATTTAGTCCTTGCTTAAAGTCTTCATACAGCGAGCATATTTTAAACTAATGAAGTGTTCTCCTTAATTAATATGGTTTTAAGCTTTTGCTCTTGCATCTCTACTTTACCGGGTTGGAGAAGTCTTGTCTTTCATAACGATCAGCTGGTTTGTGCACTACTGCAGCTCACTGCAGCTCATGTAGGTTCTGTGATAAAACTAAAGACCCTGACGACGCACTTAGCAAAGCTACCCCATACAGAAAGCTAGCTTACTAGCTACTACTGCTGCATGGTATGTTAACATGGTAACTCTAAAACTCTGCAGTTCTCATAATCCTCCGTCTGGTAAGGTGAGCTTACTGTCAGCTTCAAGATCCAGGTGATCTAGCTAAATGTAACAGTTTCTGTTAAAGTCACCCTCTTTCTGTTATAGTCACCCTCTTGTATTCGTCGCTTGTCTCAAAAAATCCGGAATTTGGCTAACTTCTTATTGTAAGTTTATACATGTAACGGCCAGTACCAATAATAAAGCATTAATAGGTAAAGGAAGATGGTAGTTTATGTAGGTTTGTGTGAAAAATGTAATCCCGGAGGTCCGTGTAATCGAGGTAGTTCTGCAACTGCAAGAGATTCCTGCAATGTGAAACTTGAGCAGTATTTCATTGCCCAGTCCCCATTTCTAATTATGAGAATTAGGATGGGTTTATTACCGAATAATTATGCTGCATATCTATCTTAATGCTCAGTGAACGTGATCAGTGACACAGATCCCACATATGTGTAGATTGTTGTGTACATGGTATCTATCTACGATACTCTTATTAAATTAAAGATTGATAGAACGTACACCACAGTTACCACAGCTTGTCATATCAGATGATCGTAACCTCTGTTTGATAGTTAGCGGTTTTTATGGTTCGTGCAATGCATCGCCTTTAACGAATTTCGGTTTATCGATTTTGTTTTATTAGTAGTACATGAAATAATCGTCCACTTTGCTAAGCTTTACTTTTTCCATTACTATCTAGTCTCACGTCATGCCTTACTCATCACTACTTTATATTTAAAATAAAATTTAATGCACATTCCATTGCCTTAATGCATATAAATGCATGAGAAGTATCTTTTCTCTCTGACGTAAGCATCTAGATCCATAGAGCGAGGTTATCTATTACGGACATCTTATAGTTATATTGCGTTGGTTATCTATTTTTAAGTGTAAACATTTTAAGTGCACCTCTATCTGATATTTTTTAAAGCTTTTTGCTCGCTTATTTCCTGTAGATGATAAGTCTACCGCTTTTTGACATAAGATAAGATAAGATAAGATAAGATAAGATAAGATAAGATAAGATAAGATAAGATAAGATAAGATAAGATAAGATAAGATAAGATAAGATAAGATAAGATAAGATAAGATAAGATAAGATAAGCGTAATTCTTAAACGGTTTTTTATGCGCATACCTAATGAGAAAATAGCTAATTTCCCGGATGAGCTGCATCAGTTATTTGTGATATCCGTATAAGTGAAATTTAGCGACCATTGCAGTTAACCTTTGTAAGTCCTTAAAGGGAGCGCACAACCTTGTGGCTTAGTGGCTTATGATATTATACGTAAACGAATAACGATGTTTTATAATATGATACATAGTAGTTATGTGTTGTTTCATTATCCGTCGCGTCGTTCAGCGTCCTTGACGTTTTTCTTCGAACCCCAGGATATTGTTTTAGAATATATATACGATCTGTCGTCGGTTGTCGTTGGGATAACGATGTTTCACAGTTTAAGCTCAAAATATTATATCAGTGACATTAGTGTACCAAGAGTGTGTACCAATGCATGTGACACTGTGTATCACTGTAACCGTGTATGTGACATAGTTGTATGCGAGTTTGTCGTTAGTCCGTGTTGGGTGTAGGGGGCTGAATATAGAGAAATAAGATTATTCCAGAGCAGCCCCTTGTTAACATTTCTATCCAATACTAGAGCAATACTAATAGTTTCTGAGCTGCCCCTTGTTAACATTTCTATCCAATACTAGAGCAATACTAATAGTTTCTGAGCAGCCCCTTGTTAACATTTCTATCCAATACTAGAGCAATACTAATAGTTTCTGAGCAGCCCCTTGTTAACATTTCTATCCAATACTAGAGCAATACTAATAGTTTCTGAGCAGCCCCTTGTTAACATTTCTATCCAATACTAGAGCAATACTAATAGTTTCTGAGCAGCCCCTTGTTAACATTTCTATCCAATACTAGAGCAATACTAATAGTTTCTGAGCTGCCCCTTGTTAACATTTCTATCCAATACTAGAGCAATACTAATAGTTTCTGAGCTGCCCCTTGTTAACATTTCTATCCAATACTAGAGCAATACTAATAGTTTCTGAGCTGCCCCTTGTTAACATTTCTATCCAATACTAGAGCAATACTAATAGTTTCTGAGCTGCCCCTTGTTAACATTTCTATCCAATACTAGAGCAATACTAATAGTTTCTGAGCAGCCCCTTGTTAACATTTCTATCCAATACTAGAGCAATACTAATAGTTTCTGAGCTGCCCCTTGTTAACATTTCTATCCAATACTAGAGCAATACTAATAGTTTCTGAGCTGCCCCTTGTTAACATTTCTATCCAATACTAGAGCAATACTAATAGTTTCTGAGCTGCGTTTCTTTGTAATTCTGCGTAAACTTTGAACTATCATGTAGCCTATAAGAGTGTAATCTATCAAAACTTTAGCTTTAATATACAATTTGTTAGCTTAATTTCAGCTACTTATGGCAAAATAAGAATGATCAATTCAGAAAATTACTGATATATTAGTTAATTGTCGGCATTCGTATTAACTATTGTTGCAGACATTTTTTCGCATAGTATTTGTGATCTTGACGTCCTTGTTCGTGCAGTAAGGCATCATATTTATATCTAAGTAAGTACTCTTGCTATCCAGTATCCCGGTTTCCTGTTCTATCCTAGGGTGTAACAGATGGCGATCCGTGCAAAAATTCCAACACTTTAATTCTATAACGTTGGCTTCCTGTCATGTTTACATTCTATATTGGTCCGTTTTTAGGGTTCTATCCGCCTCTACCCGCCCAGTATATGACAAGCTGTTTGCATATTTTATCCCTTCAATAAATTTAATAGATGAATATTGCTAGGCTATTAGTGATTGGCAGTTTAGCACATTCTTGCTGTTATTTTCTCTCGCTGTTTTGCTATAACTAATGTAGCTTTGCTATAAGTTGAGAACTCGTTCCTTGGTGTTACCTGGTACTACTAGATACGTTGTTTACTTTGCCTAATAATATATAGCCCTATAATATAGCCTGATTCGCGTAACAACCCCAACACTTTGGCAGTTACTACCATGACAAGATGCCGATAATCGCCGTTAAAACTCCCGGCTCCTTGGATTGCACAGTGGAAGAAGCTTGTTGAAGCGTGTCTGCAGGTACAGCAGGTTAAAGGACCCTGTGTTTACCCGTTTGTTGGACTTTTGCCAAGTTTTCTCAAACCATGAAACCACTCCTCTCGAAGTACTAAGTATAAGTGAGATAACATTTATCTGAAATGAGCAACAAAGAAGACAAGATACTCACCTCCTCGCCCAACTCCACCTCGAGTCCTACCAAGATGGATCTGACTAAGTCCCCAGTCACCCCGGCCCGGTCTGATCACAACGGGGAGGTCGTGTCTCTGAGGAGGAAGTCTAAATCAGAGCAGAAGCTGACTTCTCACCCCAGAGCTCCACCTCTAAACCCAATCATGAGGACGTGTAGTAACCCTAACTATGGCTATAATAACGTGCACCTCTTCAACATGAATAACAGTTATAACTCCCCCGCCCAGAGTCCAGAGCCTTGTAGACGGAGATTGTCTGAGTTCAGTTTCTCAGATAGGTGATTATGGGCACGCAGTTTGTTTGTTTGTTTGTGTTCAGTTGTTGTCTAAAACCTGGAACAATAATGGAAGTTCAGGGGTAATTTTAAATGAAAAACATTTAGGTCTCAATTATCGGCCATTCTCGGTAATTAAGTTATATTGTCTCTCTTTTATTGGTGAAAGTTTTATACGTCACATATGGCGCAGTTAGTGCTGTCCTATAATTACAGCGCCTCATGCAACGTATAACACCCAACCAACGCTGCACAGTGTTCACAATTGGATGTTCTGTACAAGTAATCTTATTTTCAACATAGCACAATATATTATGCAGTATGCACATCACCCGACCTTCGAACAACCGACAGGCCTCCTGTGTTTCTGTGCAATCTACTACCTCCTTCGAGAGTTATTACGCGTCACACACTGTAATCAAATTAATTAAACACTTAGATAATTACTGTCAACATGCGGCTGATATGTGAGTTGACAAACCGCCAACCAGCGTGATACTTCCAATTTCAATTACATCGCACATCAATAAGATTACATGTAACAGTAGACTGTTGTTTAAAAAATAAATATATTAAGATGTGCTAAAATTTCAGTTCTAAATATAACATTATAAGTGCAAATTTGGACTTTTTTATGCGCAGAAAACATATAAGATCAAGAGAACGTGAAACTGTAAAAGAGAACGTGAAACTGTAAAATGCGGTAGATGGTCAAGTAACGTTTGAAATATTTCAGATGGTCAGTGGCGTCCTCGGCATCAGACTACTACTCGGGATCTCCTTCAAGTCTTTCGGTGAGCTTATAAATCTGGGAACCAGCTTATCATTAGTCCATATTAGTCCAGATTATTCCAGATTTACTAGTGGGCAAGGGATAGGTTCCATCCCTGTTTGGTTAATGTGAGAAATAAAAATTTACCCTCGAGCATTTCTGCCATATTACTTATACATATTAAACGGCTTCCAAATCGTGTCCAATTCTCAAATAAATTGCTTCAATTTTAAATTAATTTCTCATGTAATTCAGATTATTAGTACTGAATTTAAAAACATTTCCTTGTGTTTCAGAGTGCAAGTTCTCAGGAGCGACTGTACGTCCCCGGCTACAGAGTATCAGATGAGGACGTTTCCCACATTCAACTTCAGCGACAACACAGGTTAATTTACTTGGAGTTTTATAAATCTGTCCTTTGTATTTAGTAAAGTTTGATTTTGTCTGCTTGACACCCGTGATTTAATACAATACCAGAACAATTCCTAGTCTGTCAAAGTGCAGTTAAATTCAGACAGTAGCAAGGTGTTTATTAGTCCCTGAGAGAAATTATTCAAAATAAAGTATAAATCCTAATTATTCGTCAGCTCTCGGCTGTATCTGAGTATTGTCCACAAGTTATTTGAATTCAAGATATCAATTCAGACAGCCTCATTCATTTATTGCCTACAATATGAAATATGAATGTTTGAGGGTGAGAAGTGAATATGTCCATCTTGTAGCCATATTACGGATTGTAGCTGTAGTTCAAGCACTGAGGCAGTGTTATTTTCCGGTCATGAAATTGTTGAGACGCGGTACGGATGTTTTAACCTTTCTTTACGTCAAAAGGTGAGAACCGGGTCATCACGTTACCAAGTCACCAAGTTACCAAGTCACCAAGTTACCAAGTTACTAAGTTACCAAGTTACTAAGTGATAAAGTCACCAGGTTATTGGGTGATCACGTCACCAGGTTACAGGGTAACCGGGTGATGTAAAAGCCAGGTGACCAGGTGACTGTACCACGTGAACAGGTGACCAGGTGACTTTACCACGTGGTACCCTTCCCTCCATCTCCCCCGTCGCTCCACACCCTCCTTCCATCAAGTTACGTCTACAAACAATACCATCATTTAAAACACTCTCCTCCTCCTGCTCGTAGATAAGAACGTGACCTCACAGCTGAAGTCTTGTTATCTTAACAAGCACGCTGTGAAACACTGGTTACATCTCAATCCACACCTTTGAACACTAGCCCCATCTACTTTATTTCTTTACAAAGGTTTCTTAACACCACCTCAACAGTATCGAGCAGAAGTACAGTGAGCGCTCTCTCTCGCTCTTTTTAATCTTTACTTCTTCGTTAAGCTGTAAGAAAGTTATCCCGATGTCCACTGAACTTCCCGTTCTGCAAGCAAGCACATGGTCTGTTTTATGTGATAACGTGTACACCGCAGTGATTGAATGATATTAAAACAATTCCAAGCATTTTGTAAGCACGCGGGAAGATCTCACTTAATAAATTGCTTCGTACATTTTGCTTACGATAGCACTCAGCGTTGTCTAATAGTGTTTTATAGAACGTTCCGTTTGTATCTTATCAAATGATTGGGCGGACAAGCGATCGTTGATCTGCGGTCATGTGAGAGCTTGGGAAATTTTAATGGTGGGCGTTTGAAGATATCACACCGTCAATTAATAGCAACATCATTCCCGGTTGCTCCAGATTCCCGCTTAACATTTCCCAAGATTCCGAGCTGAATCTTGTTGGATCGTTCCTTCATGCACCGTAGTTCTCATTTTGTGTCCTTCCCGAACAACTACTTCGATTAGTGAGTTGGGAGAATACCTTTTATAGGATTATAAGTAACTGGGTGATAACTTACCTTGGGGTTATGGGTCAAAGTTGTCAAGTCAAAGTCAAACTGCCCTCCCTCGAGGTGTGTTACTCATGCTCGAATTTCTAAATTTGTTATTTCTGTCAAAAATCACGCTCTGCTTGTCAAAAAGTTCGATTTATGAGACGAGATTGCTAAACTGTTTGTCAACTTAACGTTAAACACATTCATCTCAACACTCATATCTCAACATGTAGCGAATAGTTTGAAAGATATGTCTTTATACATCGTTATTTTATTCACATTTACTGAATTCTTTAGAACCAATTTATTGATTTACAATAGATGATTGGAGATGCAAGACATGCTAATTGTTTGCTAATTTCAGTCAAGATGCAGCGAAGAACAGACCTCGACCTCGTGCAAGGAGCCTGTCCCCGGAGAGGCAGCCTGAAAGCAACCTTGCTAATGAAACTTCCTTTAACATTTACAAAGACAGATTCCCTCAGGCTAAGGATGAGATGGAGAAAGATTTACAGGTTAATACAAGAAACTGTTGGTTCTGTGGCTGTACTTGGGGTAGGGTTCAGGGTTGGTTAGTTGGTATCTGAGATTTTGTTAGAATTCTAGAGCACAAAACACTGTAAATGGTGAATGGAGGACAGGAACCGAGAATTCTTTATAAGATAGACAGTGTGTTCCCTTTTTTAAATACACTTAACAATTCCTACTTTAAGTCTTACTATAGATAAATCACCTGTACTATTTGGTAATAATTCTACTATTTCTACTGAATATAACCATAGATAACATCAAGCTGAAACCTCCAGTCTCCAGAGCATAGTGACAAGTTAAGAAACTTAAGCTTGGCAGGCAAGATGTCATCATCTGCGTGCACCCAATTTCTCAACGTCTTTATTAATTGCTCTCGCCCTTCTTAATGCCATTTACATGCTCTTTAATAAATAAAAGGTTATTTCTCGTGATTAGATACTTGACCTACCTTTGATCAGTTTCTCCGTGACAGGCCATTATAGTTGCAAACCACCCAGAAGGTTTCGAAGTGTCACTCACTCCTTAAAACACCCAATCATGGGTGATGTTACAGTTTACTGATAATTGGTTATTGAGGGATAGAGATATAACAATTTGCCACATAATGCATAGGGCTTATTGTAAGAATGCAACTACCATTCCCCATTTATTTTATCGATTTCACCGCGGTGGACATTGTGTTAAATTTAGGAGACAATAACAAAATTGGTGATTGAATAATTTGACATAATTGTTACTACTACTGGTTACGATAGGATAATATTAATAAGGGTATCTTGCTCTTAATCAACTGTCCTTGCAAAATAGTGCTGTACTAACCAATAAAGTCATACAATATTAATTCATATCTAAATTTTGACGATTACTATTTTCCAGAATTTCCTCGAGGAGTCCCATACAAGGAGTGAAGGTATAGTGAAAGGAGAAGCGAACGCTAACTTTATACACCACCGAGTGTCTGAATTAGCCAAGGATATTCTGGAACATTCCAAAGAAGAGCGTATCACAGACACATACTTTGAGGAGGTAATAATATCATGTCCATTAAACTTACTTAAGAAAAACAAACATCCAAAAAATAAATATGAAAATAAACTCAGTTATGCATAACTATCTTGTGTAATATCCGGAAAATGATATCTTGCTTCCAATTTTACCTCTCCCTCTTGTTATAACTTGATAATATCTTGTCCAGGTATCGACGACATTAATGCGACTAATCAGTGACTCTGAGCGGACTGCTGCCGACATGTTATCTGGTACCCACACAGGAGGACTCGTTACTAAGGAGGCTTCTGAGCTGCTCAAGATCATTTCTCGCAGGTAATAAGTGTGGATATTAGGGTGGACATTAGGGTGGATATAAGTGTGGATATTAGGGTGGATATTAGGGTGGACATTAGGGTGGATATTAGGGTGGATATTAGGGTGGATATTAGGGTGGACATTAGGGTGGATATTAGGGTGGACACTAGGGTGGATATTAGAGTGGACATTAGGGTGGACATTAGGGTGGACATTAGGGTGGATATTAGGGTGGATATTAGGGTGGACATTAGGGTGGACATTAGGGTGGAAATTAGGGTGGATATTAGTGTGGACATTAGGGTGGACATTAGGGTGGACATTAGGGTGGATATTAGGGTGGATATTAGAGTGGAAATTAGGGTGGATATTAGTGTGGACATTAGGGTGGATATTAGGGTGGACATTAGGGTGGATATTAGGGTGGACATTAGGGTGGACATTAGGGTGGATATTAGTGTGGACATTAGGGTGGACATTAGGGTGGATATTAGGGTGGATATTAGAGTGGATATTAGAGTGGAAATTAGGGTGGATATTAGTGTGGACATTAGGGTGGATATTAGGATTGACATTAGGATTGACATTAGGGTGGATATTAGTGTGGACATTAGGGTGGATATTAGGATTGACATTAGGGTGGACATTAGGGTGGACATTAGGGTGGATATTAGAGTGGATATTAGAGTGGAAATTAGGGTGGATATTAGTGTGGACATTAGGGTGGATATTAGGGTGGACATTAGGGTGGATATTAGGGTGGATATTAGGGTGGACATTAGGGTGGACATTAGGGTGGATATTAGTGTGGACATTAGGGTGGACATTAGGGTGGATATTAGGGTGGATATTAGAGTGGATATTAGAGTGGAAATTAGGGTGGATATTAGTGTGGACATTAGGGTGGATATTAGGATTGACATTAGGGTGGATATTAGTGTGGACATTAGGGTGGATATTAGGATTGACATTAGGGTGGACATTAGGGTGGATATTAGGTTGAACATTAAGGTGGACATTAGGGTGGACATTAGGGTGGATATTAGGGTGGACATTAGGGTGGCAATTAGGATGGACATTAGGGTTGACATTAGTGGACTCTACCACTTACCAGCTTACAGGCTCGCGTCGTTTACCCGTCTCCTCTTTACTTCATATAATATGGTGGATCAACAGCTTGCAGACATGTTTGGTTTAATTGGCTTTACATTGCTCGCTTGTTTCCTTTTCAATCTCTCAGGTTCTCTAATTTCCCATTTTTATTCCCCATAGTGCCCGATTGTTGGAGTGTCTGACGTTTAGTGTAGGCAGTTTCTACTCCAAGATACAGGAGGGAACTATTGATGAGCTGCTGAGGAGCACTGCTAGTTTACCACGATACATTTCTAGTAGACTCAGTACCAAATTCGGGGTAGGTCCTAACACATTGTTTCTTTTTTTATCGAATTCTAATGATGCTTTAATCATTCTATTACATTTAAATCCGAGTATTTTTAGTTCATCACTGGTTTTCTATGTTAATCTGTGGCCCTTGATCAGGTGATAGAATCAGAAGACCCCACGTCCCCGGCCACCTCGCAACCCTCCCACACCCCTCACCCATCCTCCTCTGGTACTGAGGACGAGGCCCAGGAGCGGTCTCAGTTCAATGAGGAGGACTTCGAGAACAGAAAGCTCATCAGCAACGGAGCTTACGGTTAGTATTTACTTTGTAGTGACAGTGTTACGTCTTGTTAGTTATATCAATTTGTTAACTGACGATCCCTATACTTTAATAATTCCAATCATAATAGTGAAACCGTGACTTAGTCGCCATCGAAGGCAAAACATGAATGGCAAACAATTGTTGTTGTTGTTTAAATGTTGGCCATTAATGAGTCTCCAGCAAGCAAGTTTTTTTCAATGCTTCAGTAATTATACATGCTACTTCAGTAATTATACATGCTACTTCTTGCGTTATTATTGTTACGCTTATATCTCCGATTATGATTAATAATCTTAATCGGAGATTATATAGAACTTACATTATATCTGTTATTATATATATTTATTTCAAATAGAAACGATCGGTTGAGTCAAACAGTCTGACTGAGACTCAACCGGTCGTATCTAGCTCTTGGCTTGCCGATTCAGCACTGTCGGCAAACGACGCCACCCACAATTATTTGTTTATTAAATAGCTACATTTTATCTATTATTATATATATTTATTATATAGCTACATTGCATATATCCTACAGGTGAAGTTTTTCTGGTGAAACATGTTGAAAGTAAAGAACTCTTCGCTCTGAAGCGGATACGAAAGGACCGTGTAATCGAGCGAAATGAAGTGCAGCGGGCTTTCATGGAGCGGGATATCCTCTCATTCATGCAGAACCCTTTCGTTGTGTCAATGTTGTGTAGTTTCCAGACGAAGACCCATCTGTGTATGGTGTTGGAGTATGTGGAGGGAGGCGATGTTGGGACTCTGCTCAAGAATATGGGTGGTCTGGATATTGATCTTGCGAGGTGTGTCAATAACTTCTTAAACATGCAGTACAATAAGCAAACTTTTACGAAATATTATTATGAGTATGAACTTGCGAAATCTCATGATGAATTTGGAGTAAGTTGTGTGGGCTACACAATGAACTGAATGGAAGTTGGACAGTATTTAGCACTAACTGACCAGTTAATATCACAGAATGTATCACGCGGAGACGTTACTAGCTCTGGAGTACATTCACAGTTATGGTATCGTGCACAGAGATCTCAAGCCTGAAAACCTCCTCATCACAAAGGAAGGTCACATCAAACTCACTGACTTTGGTCTCTCAAAGTGAGTATTGTCTAGCTCTTAGATAATTTAAAGATTGCTTCCCCCAGAAAATCATAAAATGTGCCAACACCTTTTCTCTGTTTAAATATAATCTGCAGTGGAAATCACAAAACCTGGGTAAACACTAACCCAGGAAATCCTCCTAGGTGCGGTCTCATGCAGATGGCCACCAGACAATTTGAAAACTCCATGGCTGCGTTTGATGACGATGTGGGTTGTATCGGAACTCCAGACTACATCGCACCGGAAGTGTTCTACTCGCGACAGTACGGTTTCTCAGTCGATTGGTGGAGTATGGGTATCATACTGTACCAGTTCCTTGTGGGGTGCACTCCTTTCCGGGGCGAGACTATCGAGGCTTTGGTGGAGAATATTAATCCTAGGTATTTGCTGGTTCACCTTCCTAAATGATAAGTTCTCCTTTTTATTATTGGCAGCAATAACATAATTGTATGTGATATAGAATGTATTTTGTCTCTCTGTTATGTTATACTCTGTCAGGAATATAGAGTGGCCTGGCCCTGATGATGACCCGGTTGAGGAGGAAGCTAAAGACTTGATTCTGGGACTGCTGTTCATGAACCCTTCAGAGAGGCTTGGTGCTCAAGGTATATGTTTTTAAGAGCACAATAGTGTTAGAGCGAGCTTAAATTATAACATCCAGTTAGAGTTTTTAGCACAATGATTCAATCTCTTGGTCAATAACCATTAACCAAACACTGTATCTTAAATCACTCATATCTCTAACTCCAAACCCTATTCTAGGAGCACAGGAAGTGAAAAAACACCCTTTCTACCAAACACTCCACTGGGACGAGCTGATCATGCACAAAGCAGAGTTCGTACCTTACTTGGACAGTGAAGAGGACACTTCTTACTTCGACTGTAAGTTACCATGGTAACCACGGTGTACATTGTGGGATCATCTCAAAGTGGAGTAGACAATGATAAATGTAGCAACCAGGAAATGTTGGTTTTGAAATTTAAACTGCTAGTTTTATATCTCTTATCTCTATCTTCGAAACTTACCAAACGTTTCTCAGCTCGTGACGATATGTACGATCACTCCATAACGGAGGACTGTTTGCCAAGTGTAGAGGACAACTCACACCACATAAAGTATTTTGACAGTGTTAATTGGAGCAGTGCCGACCAGTTCATCGCTCTCAAGTGAGTTACATTTGGAGTTCTTCTCTTTTTACTCTATCTAATCTGCTGTTGATGTATATTCGAACAAACCTTATTTATGAACCATGTTGGGTAGGTCATGTTCTCTTTGTTACGATAAAGCAGTAAGGACACATTGTAAAGCTCTTAAAAGCTCTTAAAAGCTCTTCAAAGCTCGACTATAAGAACTGGATCCCATATTATTTAGGTTATACATATTGCGGAGAAGGACATTATATCTTATCAGAGTAAGAATAAGACTGAATAGTTCTCTTTTACTAACAAGTTTAGAGCTACAGTAAAACCCCGATTTACCGTGGAGTTTGGGGAAAGGAAACTTAACCGCGGTAAATCGGAGTTTGCGGTAAATCGGGGTGGTGTTTGTTCACATTATGTATGTTAAGCCCCACTTGGGGGAAAGGAAATAGCCGCGGTAAATCGGGGTTTTACTGTACTAAAGTATTTTGTCTCTCAGAAGCTCCCTCGTTGTACTTGTGTATCTATCACCTAGTAACTGTTACCTAGTAACAGTTACTAGGTAACTAGTATAGTAACTTGTGTATCTTATCTCCCCTTGCTGGTTGGAATTGACAAATAGCAGCACAATTATTAGAAATTCTTTAAATACACTAAATACGCGCGCCGTGAGATTACGTGTTTTGGTGAGCGCCGTGAGATTAAGTGTTTTGGTGAGCGCCGTGAGATTACGTGTTTTGGTGAGCGCCGTGAGATTAAGTGTTTTGGTGAGCGCCGTGAGATTACGTGTTTTGGTGAGCGCCGTGAGATTACGTGTTTTGGTGAGCGCCGTGAGATTACGTGTTTTGGTGAGCGCCGTGAGATTACGTGTTTTGGTGAGCGCCGTGAGATTACGTGTTTTGGTGAGCGCCGTGAGATTACGTGTTTTGGTGAGCGCCGTGAGATTACGTGTTTTGGTGAGCGCCGTGAGATTAAGTGTTTTGGTGAGCGCCGTGAGATTACGTGTTTTGGTGAGCGCCGTGAGATTAAGTGTTTTGGTGAGCGCCGTGAGATTACGTGTTTTGGTGAGCGCCGTGAGATTACGTGTTTTGGTGAGCGCCGTGAGATTACGTGTTTTGGTGAGCGCCGTGAGATTACGTGTTTTGGTGAGCGCCGTGAGATTACGTGTTTTGGTGGGCGCCGTGAGATTACGTGTTTTGGTGAGCGCCGTGAGATTACGTGTTTTGGTGAGCGCCGTGAGATTACGTGTTTTGGTGAGCGCCGTGAGATTACGTGTTTTGGTGAGCGCCGTGAGATTACGTGTTTTGGTGAGCGCCGTGAGATTACGTGTTTTGGTGAGCGCCGTGAGATTACGTGTTTTGGTGAGCGCCGTGAGATTACGTGTTTTGGTGAGCGCCGTGAGATTACGTGTTTTGGTGAGCGCCGTGAGATTACGTGTTTTGGTGAGCGCCGTGAGATTACGTGTTTTGGTGAGCGCCGTGAGATAACGTGTTTTGGTGAGCGCCGTGAGATTACGTGTTTTGGTGAGCGCCGTGAGATTACGTGTTTTGGTGAGCGCCGTGAGATTACGTGTTTTAGTGAGCGCCGTGAGATTACGTGTTTTGGTGAGCGCCGTGAGATTACGTGTTTTGGTGAGCGCCGTGAGATTACGTGTTTTGGTGAGCGCCGTGAGATTACGTGTTTTGGTGAGCGCCGTGAGATTACGTGTTTTGGTGAGCGCCGTGAGATTACGTGTTTTGGTGAGCGCCGTGAGATTACGTGTTTTGATGAGCGCCGTGAGATTACGTGTTTTGGTGAGCGCCGTGAGATTACGTGTTTTGGTGAGCGCCGTGAGATTACGTGTTTTGGTGAGCGCCGTGAGATTACGTGTTTTGGTGAGCGCCGTGAGATTACGTGTTTTGGTGAGCGCCGTGAGATAACGTGTTTTGGTGAGCGCCGTGAGATTACGTGTTTTGGTGAGCGCCGTGAGATTACGTGTTTTGGTGAGCGCTGTGAGAACTGAGATTACGTGTTTTGGTGAGCGCCGTGAGATTACGTGTTTTGGTGAGCGCCGTGAGATTACGTGTTTTGGTGAGCGCCGTGAGATTACGTGTTTTGGTGAGCGCCGTGAGATTACGTGTTTTGGTGAGCGCCGTGAGATTAAGTGTTTTGGTGAGCGCCGTGAGATTACGTGTTTTGGTGAGCGCCGTGAGATTACGTGTTTTGGTGAGCGCCGTGAGATTACGTGTTTTGGTGAGCGCCGTGAGATTACGTGTTTTGGTGAGCGCCGTGAGATTACGTGTTTTGGTGAGCGCCGTGAGATTACGTGTTTTGGTGAGCGCCGTGAGATTACGTGTTTTGGTGAGCGCCGTGAGATTACGTGTTTTGGTGAGCGCCGTGAGATTACGTGTTTTGGTGAGCGCCGTGAGATTACGTGTTTTGGTGAGCGCCGTGAGATTACGTGTTTTGGTGAGCGCCGTGAGATTACGTGTTTTGGTGAGCGCCGTGAGATTACGTGTTTTGGTGAGCGCCGTGAGATTACGTGTTTTGGTGAGCGCCGTGAGATTACGTGTTTTAAACCTTACCAGGTTTAAAACTCCTCGGCAATAAGATAACGTAGAATTTGTAACCAACTTGACCAACTTGTTTTCCTCAGTTCGCCAAGGCACCGACACCTGTCACATGACAGCATCGACAGCGGAACGGATAACCAGCCGTCCCTGTCCACTGACGACGGTCACTCCAGCAGTGGAGAGCAGAACACCTCCTTCCACACCAGGTATTTTAGCACACCGTGATGACGTCACGTTATATGATGACGTCACGTTACATGATGATGTCACGTTACATTATGATGTCACGTGAGATGGTGATGTCACGTTACATTATGATGTCACGTTACATTATGATGTCACGTTACATGATGATGTCACGTTACATTATGATGTCACGTGAGATGGTGAAGTCACGTGATAACGCGTAAAATATCACGTGTGTTGTGCTTAGAATGGGTTTGGAGTGAAGCCAGTGAATTACAAACTATAAGATGTTGTTAGTGTATATATTATAGCGAGTGTGTGCATTGCATACGATGAGAATGTGCCAGGCTTTACTGTTTCTCTTTCTCCATTTACTACTTTGTTGCATAAACCGTTTGTTTTTAATTTTATTTTCCCATTTGTCCCTGCGTTAATGTTAATTCCCGTTTTAACCTTAGTTCGCCCCGTGAGAGATGTTTTTCGGACAGTATTCTCCGGAAACCCATCAAAGAGGAACCTGGTCCAAGCAGACAGACTAAAACCCCCGACCCACCACTGACTACACCAAAACCACTACAACCTGACAATAAGACATTAAAGACTTTACTAGTACCAAAAGCGAGCTCCACACCTACAAAGCCCGCTAATAGAGTCTCGCCAGGGAGCAAGTGTTCTGCGGATCTGTATAGGAATCTATGGTAAATAGCTAGCTCGAATAGCGCTGCATGCCATACATACGGCGCTGATTGCCTGAATGCAGGGAATGCGGGGGCTGATCTTTGGCAATTTGCATGCTTGCCGCTGATCACCCATACCTCATAGAAAGTTTGTGTAGATTTATAGATAAAAAGGGAAATTTCCAGTTCTAAATACATTACATCACCCTCAATCACACAACGACAAAATGACTGACTTGAAATGACTTTAAGTGAGTTGTGTGATTATTATGTGTGAGAACTTCTCCTCATTTATTTTAAAGCAAGTGTGACAACTTATTCTGATTTATTTTGAAGCAAGTGTGTGACAATTTTTCTTTGCATAAAACGGAGGATTCTTGAATGACCTATTTCTTTTTTTCGTTGTCATTGATTCTAATATTTGTTCTTCTAAGCCCCCAGTTTCTGGAACCACCACCAAGTCTACCAACAACAAGCTGTCCATTGTCAAAAAACGGTCCTTGACAACCTCATTTTGACGGTGGGAATAGCTCAATTTGAAACACATCCGTCCCCTCAATCAGTCATGTCATGAGCTAGCATCAATACAGCAGTTTTTAGTAGACTTGGTCCCACACAGAAGAGTTACACAATATCTCCTAACCCTCCCCTCTCCAGTACCCCAGTGAAGGTAAAGCCAGGCTACACCCTGCCCAGCTCCTGAGACCAGCCCCCGGCCTATATTCGACGCCTCTATTGACGCCTCTGTAGATACTACTTCCTCTGATTCCGGGGAAGTTGAGAGGGACAACCAGCAGGATGTTCCGGTAGGAGCCGCTAGTCTTACTTTTAACTACATTAAATATTTTAACCTTTTAAAACGAATTTTGGGATTTTCGAATTTCAAATTTCAAAAGACTTTTTATCACAAAGAATTACGACTACTCCAGCAACTTTCCCTGAGATCTCGTCTCCGCAGGTGGAACCACTTCCTCCAGTCCATATCCCATTAAGCAAGCCTCCCGTTAAGAAGCTAGACCTGTCCTCCCTTCACTCCAAACACCTCCACGTCCCTGAGATGGACGATGATATTGAGGGGTACCGCTTTGGAGAGAGGAATGTAACTCTTGTTAAAGGTCAGCTGATCATGTGTTTACTGTTTAGTGTTTTAGTATTTTGCGGCCAGGTAGCGCAGTTGGTTAGAATGCCAGCTTTACAATCGTGAGGTTGCGAGTTCGAATCCCACTGTCTGCCTGGTCGTGGGGTGAGCGTCGTTGACGTTCAGCTAAGGATCCTGAGTGGTCTATGCAGCCCCCCGGTCTACTCAGCCGAATATTCGAGAAATCGGGTGTGAGGGTTAAATGAGGAGCTGCTCATGGCAGCAAAGTCTCGGGCGAAGAAAGTATGGTACACACATTTACTTCCGTGGAATGTTCACAGCCACGAATGAACATACTTCGATCATATCCATTTCTTGTAAGCAAACCGACTAAACCCTCACCTCTTCAGCAAACCGACTAAACCCTCACCTCTTCAGCAAACCGACTTAACCCTCACCTCTTCAGCAAACCGACTAAACCCTCACCTCTTCAGCAAACCGACTTAACCCTCACCTCTTCAGCAAACCGACTTAACCCTCACCTCTTCAGCAAACCGACTAAACCCTCACCTCTTCAGGACCCAAAGGATTCGGTTTCACCCTGATCGTGATCCGAGTACAGACCCCTCTCGGTAACGGTGACAGTAAGGTCGTGCTCCGACACCTGGTATCCAACGTGGTGAAGTACGGAGCTGCAGCTGAGTCGGGGCTAAAGAAGGATGACCTGATTAACGCTGTTAACGGTATCAGCACTGTCCCCCTTACTCATCAGACTGTTGTGGATCTCATACAAAATTCCGAAGGACAGGTAATGACCAGATGTTATTTTTTATTTAACTATTAAAAACCTTAAATTGACTCACAATGTCAATAGTAAACTTAGCCTGAGGTTAAGTTTAAGTATCTCCTCGGGCTCCACTGCCCATTTAATTGTTTATCGAAGTGAATTTTAGCTCCGTAATTTCCATTTATTTGTCGCAGTGTTTGTATTGTAACTTGTAAGTAGTAAGTACAAGTAAGCAAGTGTTTGTATCAAGCAACAAAGATGACATGTTTTGGATTTTCAGTTCAGACCCTTTAAAATGATTAGCACATTGACATTTAAAACGGTAAGAGATTGGTCTTACCCAAAATGAGTGGACATTAAAATGTATTTCCTCTCATTTTCTGTCTCTTAAACCATATTTCCGATAATCTAGCACAGATTTAGCTGATGTTTGAGTGGATTTGTACAGTCGGCTGTTCTTGAAAACTTGCTTCCGAGTTCCTATCTATGGACCCTAGTGCTCTAGTGTGTTTCTACAAATACCTTCATTTTCTTACCAATAAGCACTTCTTACAGTGTGCACTGTGCTATCCATACCAGTGGGGACGCCGTTGATAAGGCATTATAAACATTGTTATCGATTTGAAAGGGAATGTCCGCATTCGACTGAAACCAGTTCAATGAGTATATATAACGTGCAATATGCTGCTATAGTTAGGTTGCAGACTCCAGGAATAATTAGAAAGCGACCTCTAGCGGCAAACAGTTTTCGTTACTTTGACATGGATAAAATACCAGTTCGAAGGGCATCGCTATAAGGGCTGTTCTAGTATTGTCTGGTTGCGGAATTTCACTTACTTTAGCAGTCTTTTACTTTTATGGTTTTTTGTTCAAATGAACATTCTTTGCTCATATATGCCATTCTTTGACCATCTCTTTGTTGTTATTCTTGTTGAAACCTTTCCAGTTGTTTTTTAGATCATGATAATGAATAGTTTGCTTATACAAATATTTTCAGGTACAACTAACAGTGCAGAACATATCACACACGACAATTGAAATGAGAACCTCTAAAACAAAGGGGAAGAAGAAAAAGCGGCAATCTTCCTTCTTCAGAAAAGCTGCCCACGCAAGAGGATATCACGATTCACTGTCTATGGAGAAGATCCTTCACCTCAATCGTTCCAGGACGAGAGAAAGTTAGTTAAAATAAAGATTATTATTTTAAATTACAACAAGTTTATAAACTTGAGTATAAATACTCAAAAACCCGATATAGGCTATACGATATAAAAACTTATTCTGAGAATTTAGTTCTAAACGGCCGGTCTGTTCTTCCCACAACTGACTGTCATGTCAGTCAGGGGTCTGATCCCCCCTCCCGTCTCAGTGAACACGAATCTAAACTAAATCTATCTCAGAGCAAAACTCTGATTCTGACAAGAGTGGTGGAGAACAGGAGACGCTCATGATACACGGACACCAGGTCTTCTCGGAAGCCTCTAGTGAGGCTGAGTCTGGTGTAATAAAACCTGGCAAGACAAGATCTAAATTCAGCAGGTTTCTATACCCTCGCGGTGGTGTATGTCTTGCAGTTTTTACCTGATATGTAGAGTTTTCTGGTGTTTATACTGTGTACAACGTTTATTCAGAGCTTTTTGGATGATTTACAGCTGTACATACCGAGATTCCTATCATCTATCTGATAAACAATAAACCAGTGTAAAATAGTATGAAACATCATTGTCTGATCTGTTCTCTAACTCAAAACTTCTAGCTTGTCCATTTTCAGACGGCGGCCCTCCTCAAACTTTGTAGCTCCGGTGTCACCCCTCGCCAGGACACCCTCTCCCACGGGTCACAACTGTTACTTCAACAACGCTGCAGCTGATCCTGAGAGGAAAACTCCCCGGACTACAGCCCAGAAAACCCTTCATATTACTCACCCCCGCACCCAGTCACTGAGCAGTATAACTAAGGTGGGTACTGTACCCTGATTCCTATGATTTACATGTTGATTTGCTTGTGGTGATTCGTTTTTATACTGCTTGATTGGCGTGTGTGTGTATCATGATTTTGAGCTTTGTTTTCTTGGATATGTGGTTTTACTACCGATATTGATTCGATGCATTATTTTATGTATTACGCACCATATACTGGAATGGTTGTTCAATAATCAATTAGCACAATCGAAATACCCATTAAGCCCAATTTATCAATTTTGAATGTCAATTTATGTCAAATTATATGTCTTATAATTATGCATGTAATTATATGTAACCATGTTAATCCCGTATGACTAACATGAACTACCTAGCACGCCTGTTTCCCATCAGAGAGAAGCCACATCCCCGGCAGTAAGCTCGCCACTCTCCACTCGGAAAACTCTCTCTCCGTGCCTGACTCGACGAGCAAAACATCACCCTGTCACCCCGGGAAGCAGCAACAAACAAGCGCCGAACAAGATGCCGAGTCCGGGAGCCATGACTCCGACCACCACCCCTCTCTGTCGCGAGACCACCGGTCTCGAGTCCCGCGCCACCGCCCACTTAGATCCACTAAATCATCCAATATCTAGCGAACACTTTGTTAGTCCTGTCTCCGCTGTGAGGGGAGACCATCTCAAACCCTCCAACAGACACAGGAAGAAATCATGGGTCCAAGGTATTGAGGACCAGCAGATTTTGTAAAAGTAGGAGGTGTGTGTGTGTGTGCGTAGAGTAACAACATTTTTACAGACTTATCAGACTTTAATGCTATTTTTTATCAAACGCTTTATTTTTAAGCGAATTTTATGATCAGCAAGGGAACAAGGAGGACCTTGTTCCGTTACTATGGTTACAAATTGAACTCGCAATGTTCTTGTCTCTTCCTTGCTGGCCCTAACGCTGAATTTTGTATTTGTTTTTACATCGAGAGAGAGTTTGTAACTCTTAAAATAGTTGATATAAAGCGTATTATCTGTACGCCAGTTACAAAAGGTGTTGCTGGTCATGAGGAGGCGTGTTACGCCGGCCCCCCTGGATAGCAACATCTATTTGTAGTTTGTACTTGAAGTTTTTCAAGTTATAAAATATCTGTTTTGTACAAATATAACTTAGGTTTTTCAAGCATTTAGACGATAAATGCAGCATGCTGCTTGGTGAGTAACCTTCCAAATTTCCCCCACTATTTTATGAAAGATAACTTTCACTATGATCAGTGCCAAGTGGCAACGCTGTTAAAAGCTTAGGATTTTTAATCAGTTATCCCTTTGCATTTTGAACTCAACGCCCCTTTTTAATAAACTTTGTTACTGGCCCTTGAAAAATGCTCTCACATAAACAATAAAGTACAGTAAAAGAAGATTTTTTGAAATGTGAGACTTAAACAGAAACAAGTTTACTTCTTTTGTATGTCATTAAATCAACCACGAGCAAATTATTTTACGTTCGCGAATTGCATGATATTGATACTACTATGCTTGAATAGCATCCTGAAATAATTTATTTGTACGTCGTTTTGATATTTAAGGGTTTTGCCGAAGCTCAAAAATAGGCGATGAACCTAATAATTAGCTGTTTTCACAAGGCCACAAATATAAAAGACTGGGACTTCTTTTTATGAGCAATAGTGGAATTTAATTTAAGTTTCGTTTTATCTCATGTTTGAATCGAATATATGTGAAACTTTTGTCAAATAAAATAAATTATAGTGTTTAACACATTGTTCAACTTTGATATAAGTTATTTTTCAATTCTTTCACAAGATTGAAATTGAATTTAAAAGTTAATTTTAAATTGAAATGCAAGGTCCAGAATTATGTCCATTCACACAAAGCGCGCACTATGACTATGTCTCCACAGAAAGCACATAATTGATGGATGATGATCCAATTTAATACGTATAATTAAATACAGTATAAAATATATATAACCTGCCAATTTTTAAAGGCGCAGGTTATATCTCCACCGAAAACACACTCCCCAAATTGCGCGCATTGCAGTATGAGTAACTGTTTTCAAACTTAATGAATCGAGATCAAATCTTTTGTCGAGGTGCTTCGAAAATGATCTTAAGGGATCATGAAGTGTCCCCGACTTAATCGTCAAAACATTTCACATATACTATCACTAATATACACATAGAAACACTAATATAAGAATAGGGCTCGGAATTCCCAGATTCGTAACTTAATTATGTCGCGTGAAATCGATACAGGATTTTTGTTTGTTTGTTTTCAAGAGCTGCTTGCCACTTATGTCCAGCTCATTATATAAAATTATATAATGTAGGACTTCTAGGCAGAGTGCTTGGTTGTGGGACACACTCGACTTTAAGAATGAAGAAAAACCACAATCTCACTAGTGAGATATCAACAGAGTGTGAACCACTGCCTGACTTACCTGTGGTATGAGAATAGGAGAGAGAATCTTCCGTGTTGTTGAGATTCTGTGAGTCCTTTAACTGCGGCTAACTGTCAGACACCGCAATAGAAACAGTGTTAAAATACACATTTTTATTCATGGGCTGTGGCGCCAATTTAATTGATAAAATCTTTAAATTAACGACACTTGATAGATATGACTTTTATCTTTCGAAAATTGTGGTTGTATAATGTGCATAATATTAATATACACAAGCATCAAATAATTGTCTTGTAAGTTTACGTACTGCTGTGTAATGTTGTAGGAATAAAAACATTCAATTACCAAACGCTAAATAACAATACACGTTAGTAAGAACCTATTACTTAAACTAACCTTAAATTATAAATAGTTTTTTCTTGATACAAACAATTACTTGTTAAGTTCATGGCAATATATGTCCATCATCAGATTCTACTGCCACTGTCTTCATGATAGACCGTCTGGGTCGTTTCTCGGCTGGCTGGCCCGGTATAAATAGACGAATTTCGCCTGTTTTGGGGTCGGTGTTGGGGATGCATGTGTCCTTCAACCTCATGCGATAACGTGTGACACTCCTTGTCTTTACATAGTGCTCCCAGTCCTTCTCTTTGTAGTCACAGTCGCTGAAGTGGTCGCTGCAGACTCTATAGGTTTTTAACCTCCTAACGTCATGGTCGGCCCTGTTCACTCTTTTATCCCATGCTGTTCGACGTTTTGCATCGCTTGGGACGGAATGAAAAGCCAGAAAGCTTCTCCTACTACTGGTGTCTCTTCCCTCACGGTTGTTACAAACTCCGACTGCACAATGACTTACCATCAACCGTCTTTTGATAAATTTTAACTAGTAAAGAGTTGTTGCAGTGATAATGGAATGAAGCTAAATTAATATATTTAGTAATGTCATAATTGCAAAGCTTGAGCTACTATACTCTGAAAACACGTGCCGCAGTCGACAACAAACGCGAAAATTTGTAACAGCTCTGACTTAGTTATTAATTCTTTAATTGGAAGATAAGACTTTTATCTACGGGGTACAGACTACGGATACATATGTTAGATTCGTGTCTACACATTACACGTTATTCAAGAAAGCACACATTCGCAAGCTTTAAAATACAAAGACCGTACAAAACGAAAGTAAACAAATTGAACACTTATCGTGCTACATTCAAATTCCATGAAGTGAGCTGTCTTTAAGTTTAATTGCTTGTAGGAACTAGATTAATCGCTGTACACAAAATTTAGGAAGATATGTGGAATATAATGGTTTAAACCTGATGGTAATCTTGTCGGTTCAACAAAAAAACCAACAGAAAACTTGTTATGGACAATTAAAATCAGGTGTTTTTATGTTTTACACGCGCGAAAAGTGGCATGCAACGTATGTCAATGTATATGCTATCCCGTCACCTATAAAAAAAAATAGCCACAACTTGGAAAAATCTAATTGATATGCCACATATTATCTCAGCTTGTGAAGCAATTACGACGGAGTTATTTTGGGATTGTGGCAGAATTACCAAGCCTAGTATTTTTGAAGAATTCGCAAATTTACACTTCATGATCTCTTTAAACGCGCTCCTACTAAATCGCTCGCCCAAATTTTAAGAAAATTCGTGTGAAAAGGCCCTTTGGGTATGAAATTGATCTCCATCGGTGTATTTTTGGACGCTGAATCCGAATCACCCCCCATGACGTATGGTAAAAATGCTTCCCTGGAGAGTTATGGGCAAAAAACCGTTTTGGTCACGTGACAGGCTAGTAAAACATGAATTCGATTGTTTAGGGCTCGGGTTAGGGTTAGGGTTGTGGTAAGGGTTATGGATAGCTTCGGGGTTATGGTTAGGGTTAGGGTTGCGGGATTAGGGTTTATGTAAAACCGTTTTGTACGGCTGTAAAACCATAAAAACCAAAGTCACGTGAAATTTTTGGGCGAGCGAATTAGTAAGTGCCCTTTAAACGATTCACCGTTCAATTATAGACGTTACATTTACACGTCAACTTAGTGCAGAATCAAGCTCAAGTTATAGAACTATTTCATACATATCAGTTTGCTTTTTTGTTACCTGGGGACCTCAGGCTATCATGTTCATAAACATAATATAGAGATTAGGTGGAATGACAGCAGACAGGCTGAGCGCAGCCCAGTAACTTTTTTGTAGTTTAGGATAATTTACGTTTGATAACCTTTTGTTTTTCTGGACCGTGCCGCGCATCAAATAATGTTGGGGATGACAGTCTGCTGTTACTATGTCAATGTGAAAATGACGGTCTGCTGTCAGTGTCACTTTGTGAGGATATTAATCTACTAACAGTCCCTTTCTTTTGGTGAGATAGTCATTGATATATCCATTGAAAGTCTTTTCCTTGATTTGGGTGTGGAATCTTGATCACTGATATTGTCAAAGGAACTTTTTACGCACCTGCTTGCCTGCTGTGGACTTTGAGGTGATCCTCTAAATTTAAATACCGGCAAATAAGCTGACTACCTCTCGTACGTGCTGTTCGTCTGAAACAATAGGTTAAAATTCTTTGACGGATGTTGGAGGACTTCGCCGCTTCGACGCGCCGCGCGAACTAGCATTCTTGCTTCGCATCGTTGCTCTGCTTCGCAGAGCAACGATCTCGGGTTGACATGGACATCGTCAATCAATGACGGATGTTACTCGTTTAAATTTCTTCGAAGTAGCGCGCGCCAGACGTGGGCGCCGCCGAAAATGCTGCAGCGGCGGCGTGAGGCCGTATTTCACTCGGCGGCGGCGGCGTATCGGCGGCTGGAACCAATTTTTTGGCAACATAGTCATTGTACCACTGTCTGACATTTTATAGTTATAAGCTAATGTACATTTTGTATGCTAAGGTTCATTTCAAAATTGAATGACGATTTGAAAGAGCAACTATTTATACTTTGTTTACTTTTAGCAACAAGCAGATATTTCATTTCATTTTTTTAACTGTTTAGGCAAAAATTTGACATTCGGCGCGCCGATCGAAATTTTTCGGCGGCGGCGGCTTGTCGAATTTATCGGTGGCGGCGGCGTACCGGCGGCGGAGCCCACGTCTGGCGCGCGCCGCTTTCTTCTCGAAATGTTGGCCCGAGGCTGGAGGCAAGTCACAAGTGCTACGAACAACAAAATAGCGCGCGCCGGGCTAGTCCATTAACAATGGACAAAGATATCTTTGTGCCAACGTCATGATCCATTGTGTCATAGTTTATCAAAGACGTATAAGCGCTCTTATTATGGTGTAGGCCATAATTTGCTTTATAACGGGACATTTTTCCTCAACAAACTTGACACCACCATTTTCTTGATGGACTTGAAGGTATAATTGAAGATTTTGCGATCACCGACATCAATCTCCGAAATGACAACCATCTTTTACGCAGCTCCTGCCTTACGGGGATTTTTTGATTTTGTTGTTCTTGCCAGGTTGAAAAACATTCCAGCAAAAGTTAATGGCTGGCGGTGGTGCTAGAGGTGGTTTGATTCACGATGTCAATCCTTCGCAGCTCGGTGAGGCACAGTGGTGCATCTCGCCGATCTACCGAAGATGGTTGCGAGAAGCATTATTTGATGCGCGCGCGACCCAGTAGTGCATCGCGCTACAAGAGGTGGTTTAATTTAAACAGACGGCTAGAGCTTGCGCGCGACATTTTACTGGCCGGCGGCGCTCAGCCTGTCATTCCGCCGAATCTTTATTATATTGATGAACATAATAGCCTGGGGTCCCCAGGTAAGCGACATTAAGCATGATTTGCACTCGTGGCGCATTCCAATCTTCAAGCAGCCATGGCACGTGACACAATTCAGCCAATCAGAGGACAGGAATCCGCAAAGTTAAAGTTGCAAACTTTTGATCGGCCCAAAGTGAGACTTTTCTGGAGATTTTG